CCAGATGCAGATTCACTTGCAGTATTGCATCGGTCAACTGAATTATTTTTTTTATACTGTTAATACGTTGTCTTTGTGAATTTGTTGTTTACATACTTAAGCGTGAAGTAAAGGAAGTGCTCAGTAAATTAATTTCAAGAATAAAAATAAGTTTCTTATAAAAGTAAGTTACGCAGTAACTTCATCTATCAGATGATGCTACGCTATTGAAAGTTCTGTAAGCTTGCAAAGACAGATGTGCTAAGGTATGGTAGTATAATATGCAAGTTAAAGCTGCGTTAAGACTTCGAGATTTCTTGGCTTTTAAATGTATAAGTGGGTCAGTGGAACTTATTTTCTTGCCTACTATTTGACATCACACATCTGTTTCTGCAGCAGCTGATATGTTTCACCTGCCTTTGAGGGCGGTGCCTCTCAGAATCTATTCAGTCCGGTTTGGAACAAGATTCGACGCTCCGGCCTTTAGGGTCACATTTTTTCATCTTTTGTATACAACATCAGGGAGCTTATGTTCGTTTGCCGATAGACAATGAACTATATTCAGGCCTGCAACCAGAAAGTGCTTCGGTGGGGTAGACACAGATGCGAAAATAGCCCTGACGTGTCCCATTGTTTGCAGCTCGCTACATGCACCGAATAGCGATTATTTCACCGTTCACTTCTGAAAATACCCACATTTACCATACCGTATACGGTTTGTCATGTTCCACAGATATCGAGCCATGTAGAACGCTGGGAAGCTCCTTGGGTTCAATGTTTAATTTGCAACTAAGCTTCTTGTTCAAACATATCATCTCTCCCGTAATTCGGTCCAGCGTAAGTTGGTGTCTTTCCCGTTGGTCATCAGTGAAGAATCATCCAACTAGAAGGGTTTCCTTAATTGGTGATATAGGTGGGGCCAGACTGCTTTTCTGACAAATTGGCAGGTCCTGATCTCAAACTTGTTCTCTTCAAGAATTACAATGACAATGGTATCACCGATATGTTCATTGTTTCTCAAGGTATCAAGATAACATTCGAAGTGGGAGTTGCTTTTAGTCCATAATCTTTGAGCTAAATCTCGTCAGAATGTTCCTACAGTAAACTCCTTCTTCGCACTGCAGTTCATTAGCTTTTCTGAGTGCTTGTGATCACCAATGGGCCGACTGAGCAAGTCGACGCGAAGCTAGCCGTTTTTTACCGCAACGACGTCTGTCATTGGCGAATAAGAGTCATAATTGAAGATGACAACAGGAGGGAAATGGAATTCATCAGATTCCGCAGAATCATCTGTTTGGTTTCTGACAGTCACTTGGCCAGCTGGCTGGTGAATACTTCACCGCGGCGAATGTCATTGACGGAAATGAGGAGAATTTGTAGAAGGTGGACAAAAAGCACACTCTTCGACATTGCTATGCTCAGCGGCAATCAATGCCGCCGGTTTACGCCTAAGGATCGCCGTCACCGCTTCCTTCCTCCGGTCGTCCGTCAAGTCAAACGACGCAAACTCAATTTCGTTTTTCCATTTTCTGCATATGCGTTGAATTCGACAAAAACAAAGAGCATACAGTAAGCGACATGCAGCTGACCAATGTCTAGAATTTTCGAATTCGACTGAGGAATGTAGAGCAACGGAGGACCCGTCCTCTAAAAATTGAAGTTACTGTAACTGAGGTCTACCATCTTGGAGCGTTATTAACCGTACGCCATTCAGCGTTCCGTGTGGCTTGGCGAATCTTGCTAATGACTGATTCTGTGAGGTAAGATTTGAACGCTTTCGGAAAGGAAGTCGAAACGGCTTCCATTTGCTCGACCAACCGGGCTAACGCCCTGAACATGAAGAGTGACCTGGGGCAAGTTTCTCACTGGTGTTCGCACCAAATTCAGGTTATCGTCTGCCGAGGCTCTAACGCTGGCGGGCATTGGGAACGTCGGATACTTTGTTTGACACTGCTACCTCCGCAACCCCAAAGAGCAAACGGCCATCGAACCGACGGACTATTTAACATCTGTCGATTGCTATATTATAGTGTATCATTTTAGTCTCCAAGAATTTTCCGTGGTGTCGAGTGAGGGCGCATTTCGACAGGCACCTCCCGTCTGCTGTACGGACTGATTTTGAAACAAAGACTATTACGGCTGTTTATATTTTATGTGCATAAAATTCGACACAATGGTCTACGCCTTTTTATGGCATTTTCTATTTCGAATTACTTGTCTGATGGTTATTGAGGCAGACCGCCACTTCATCATACGCTGCTTCACAAGAAAACATTCATGATCCATAATGGATTATTGTACTCTACAGCTGAAGAGATTCTTAAAATTCATCACTTATGCTATTATGATTCGAAGACCGTCAGTAATACGCTTTTATAAGTCCATATTCAAATATCGCATGTTTCTGACAGAAAATGACGCTTGATTTTAATTATTGAATTGAAGCAGAAAATCGCCATGGTGCACAAAACAAGAGTCAGAAGGGGCAATTCAAAAATTTACCTCAATGAAAATGGAAAGAGCTCTGAAGGACAAATATGAACGCTTTCTTACAAAGAATGAACATAATCCTCGGCGATGGAGAGAGTGCTTTGAGAAACTCCTTAACCCTGTGCAACCACAAAAAATTTCATCTGAACAGCAGCATGCAACAGATACTATTCTTTTAGTTCATGAAATCGAAGAAGCTGTTAAAAGGATAAAAAGTGTCAAGGCAGCTGGAATCGATGAAATCCGTCGTGATATGTTTAGAACCATAAGAAAACAAATCATTTTATAGTTAACATGTGTCTATCCAACTGCAATGACGACGCCATCGCACTTCAGGACTGGGACTATAGCTCCCACTTTTAAGAACGGTTGCCATAGGGAGTGATCCAGTTTTTGATTCCTCAGGCATGGCCAAGAATAAACTGGCGCAAGTGTGTTGAAGAACTGTATGCCAGAGCTGCGCAATTTGCTCTCTAGGTTCGTACGCTGACACGGGCAAGGGAATATATGAGACACTGACAGACATATCTGCCTCCGGCAAATAAAGAATAAGCGATCATCGATGCAGATTGACCGACCTCAGTCCTATAATCCACAATATATTCATTTAGGCTATAGTCGGTGTGGAACGAAACTTTGGCTCCACATTTGCATAGTGTTGTGACAAACAGGTTTAAGACAAAGGTGCTATGTTTCAAATACTTGCTTAAACTCGAAGTTATGTGATTGCCATTAGGCTACGCTTGCATGAATCGTCAAAATTATCAAAACCGAAAAATGTTAAGTGCATAACGTACATAAATATGGATTATATGTTGTGTTTCTCCGTCCTGTTCGTATTATTGACAATATAGACGTACTGGCTCATAAAACATATGTATCGACGAGCAACGTACTGCCCTAATCGATGAAGTGATGCTATTTACAGTGTCATACATTTACTCAAGTACCGTGGAGCTGTGTTCTAGTTAAATAACCCCCTATCCATTTACGAGCAAAGGGTCATTGTCATGCTCTGTAAATTCAGTTTTGGATTAGCGACCAGTTGGTTCCTTCAACCCTGCGGTACTGTAGTTTGAGGATGGCTACTTAGCAAGTAAAACTGTCAGCTCAAACCTTGCCTTGAAAACAACAAATTAAATACATGTTCCTTCTTGAGCTAATTTGAATGAGTCATTTTCCAGTGAATTAATTAGTGAATTAGTGTTTAATCATTTTAGTTCATTAAGTGAATGAAAGTGCTGTACGGTGACGGACGATCGATCCTTGACCAAGGCTGATACTCGTTAGATTCGAACCGTTCTTTAGAAAAAAAAACATTAAGATTGAATCTAAATAGTCGTTCTTCTGACAACAAGTACTTGAGAAGAGGTCCATATGGCACATTTTTTTTGTTTGCTGGCATTCGGAAGTGAGTTGGATCAACGGTCAAAATATTAGAGGAGTGGCTAGTCTCAAATTTGCAGGATGACTCACAGGCTCTCTAGGTGGAGAAGGAGGGTGGCCAAAAGTTTGCATCGACCAATTAATTGCCTGAAATCTGTCCAAACTTCATTTTTCTAAAGAGTTAGGACAAAATTTTAAATTTACATTTAATTTTGAGAGCTTAGATAGCCATATGATTTCAGCTTGAGATGTCTTAGAGACAATTTAAAGAGAGCCAGCCGTCAAAACAAGCTGTATTATTCGGCAAATGATTCCATATGTCAGGAAATATGTACAAATTTTATTGACTACGTGACGCCTGAAATGCAGTGAGTTAGAGGGGAGTCAGAACCGTGATCTGCCTTTGGAATATCAAAGATCGTCACACTTTCATGATGAAGCTCTTCTTTTAAAGAAGCTATGAATAAAGCGCTAAT